AACGACACGTAGTGTTCCCAAGCGGTCACCCATCCAAGTACTAACTACGCCCGACGTTGCTTAACTTCAGTGATCGGACGAGAACTGGTGTATTCAACGTGGTATGGTCGTTGGCGAAGAAGTTYAAATATTTTATCACATATAATAATAAACATTTACTTACCACTTACCACATACGTACCTACTTATCTATATCAAGTAGATGTCATAAAGAGGATAATAAGACCAAAATTGGTGTGATGAAAGTATCCAGAAAAGAGTCTCGTKGCTTATAAATTATAATAATTTACATTTACTTATTGATTGTACAACTTTTAGTTTAAAAAAAGCTATGTACCTACCTATAAAATATATACTAAGTAGAATTAGGTAGCTAATGCAATTCATAACATCAAAAGAAATAAAAAAATATTTTACCTAAAACTGCTTTAATCAATTAATAAATTATAACAATTATTCCAAGTAAAATAATACACCTAGAAAAACAATAAGACGTATATTTTTATTTTTTATGTTTGATACGATTGCAGCTTGTTGTGCATTGTTGGGTGCTTATGTAGTTTTGTCATAAGACAAAATCATATAAATGATCATAGACTTTTTTTACTAATAGACTGGCCCTCTTCACATTTCCATTGTGTCAAGACAGGTGGCGCTTTTCGTTTACTGAATTACTATGATACGGTACAAATGTACATATATATATATATATAAATGAATATTATGTATACTACGAACGGGCATTGATTAAAAAATATAGTATTAAATATTGTATACTAAATCAWTGCGACGAGTATATTTAGTGGCGTAGCGAACTCAAATACAGCGAAACCTCTGTATAGTGGACAGCAATAGGGAATTAAAAAAGGTCCACCATATAGGGAGTTGTCCGCATATTTATACTTGACGGGCTGCATCACTGCGCCATTTTTCAACGTAATATTAATTAATAATAATTGGTATTAATTGGTAGGATGAGCTAAAGGTCTATATTATGCGACCATGCTCATAATATAAATCCACAATTCTTTTAAAGCTCAGTCTAGATCACGTGACTTAGATCGTTGACAGTGTTGACTATTAATACAGTATTAAACCGAGTTTTCTTAAACCTTAGTTACGTGTTTTGCGTCATTTTGGGTCCACCGCTACCAGGGTCGCATGCTATGCATGCATTTGTCAAGTTACCGCGAAACACTCGCGGCCGTTGGCGACGTATAAAATATTATATTATTATTTCACGACCCGTGTATCCGCGAATACTCGAATAATATGCAAGTCATTGAACATAACCAAC